GAGAGAGAGAGAGAGAGAGAGAGAGAGAGAGAGAGAGAGAGAAACATGAATTCCATGGTGTGCATGTAGAGGGTCAGAGAACAACTTCAGTGGGTTTCAAGTATCAAACTCAGGTCATCAGGCTTCCATGGCAAGTGCTTTTACTTGATGAGCCATCTTGATGGTCTCAAAGTTACTTTTCTTGACTGAATTCTCCCCTAACTTGTTCTTTAGGTTTCCAGAGCAAATAGATTAGTAAAAACTTTACTAAAAGAACCACTTCTGAGTCGACTATGGTGGTGCACACTTTTAATCCCTGCACTCAGAAGGCAGAGGCAGGTGGATCACTTTGAGTTCAAGGTCAGCCTGGTCTAGTAGTGAGTTCCAGGACAGCTGGGGCTACAGGGAGGCCCTGTCTCAAAAAGACAAAAAAACAAACAAAAAATATTTCCGGGGCTGGAGAGATAACTCACTAACTCAGTGGTTAAGAGCACTTAACTGCTCTTCCAAAGGATCAGGGATTCCATTCTCACCACCCACATGGCGGCAAACAGGTTATCACCTATCTTTAATTCCAGTTTCGGGGATCCCATGCCTCTGCAGGCATTTCATGCACATGGTACACCTAACATACATGCAGACAAAACACCCATACACATAAAAAATTAAAATAAAATCTAAAAAAAGAACAATTTTTGCCGGGCGTGGTGGCTCATACCTGTAGTCCAAGCACTTGGGAGGCAGAGGCAGGCGGATCTCTGTGAGTTCAAGGCCAGCCTGGTCTATATAGTGAGTTCCAGGACAGCTGGGGCTTACAGGGAGACCCTGCTTCAAAAAGGCCAAAAAAATTTTTTTCTATTCAATTTTAGCAGTTAGATTCATATTCTTGTATTGGGGCTTTGTGTCCTCTGTCTAGTCCAAACCCAATGGTGCCAACTCCTGACTCTTGTTTCCTATCTTGATTCCTTGACTATTCTTGTCTTTAGAACCAGTCACTGAGGCTGGGCGCCTCTGCCTCTAAACTACTACCAATGCGTGGCTTGAGGTTTTCTATGATTCTCTGGGGATTTGACACCGTTCTGAGTCTGTTTCTTCATCTGAAACATGGTTTAAGGGATGTGCACATCATACGGTTGTTGTGATAATTAGAGGTAGTAAAGCTGTGGCAGACATATGGAAAGTACCCAGGATGTGATGGTGTTACAACTAGATTTGCAAGCTACAGTTTGAACTCATCCTAAGCCTTCTCTGACCTGAGCTGTCAGTGACCCTCTGTACTTCTGTTCATTTGATTTCTATGATGAAAATCAGAAGAGTGAGATCTTACTGTGTCCAGAAACTTTATATTTTTCTTTAATATTTTGGATTATTTTATGTGTATGAGTATATTGCCTGCTTGTATGTAAATGTACCTGTGTTGTGCAATGTCCAAGGAGGTCAGAAGAGGATGTCAGATCCTCTGGAACTGGAGTTATGGGATGGTTGTTAGCCACCATATAGGTGTTGAGAATAGAACTCAGGTCCACTGCAGGAACAGCCAGTGTCCTTAACTGCTGAGCTATCTCTCCAGTCTGTCCCCTCCTCCTTTTAATTTTATTATTTTTATGTGTATGTGTGTATTGCCTGCATGTAAGTGCACCCATGTCGTGCAGTGCCTGTGGAGGTCAGAAGAGGCTGTCAGATCCCCTGGGGACTGGAGTTATGGACAGTTGTTAGCTGCCATGTGGGTGCTGGGATTTGAACCCAGGTCTTCTGCAAGAACAACCAGTGTTCTTAACCACTGAGCCATCTCTCTAGCCCCTGTCCCCCCACCCCCCTTTTTAAGATAAGGTCACACTAGGTAGCCCTGGCTGGCCTGGAACTTACTATGTAGGCCAGGCTGGCCTCAAAGTCACAGAGATACACCTAAGCTATACATATATATTTTTTGTAGAATATATAATTCTATGAATATTATACACACATTATATATATATATGAAATCAGTACTCTTTCATTTGATTCTGTTAATAATCTGGTAAGGTAAATTTGATGAAATCCACCATACAGATAATGACGTTGAGCAAGTAGGCATGATGGCATAGGCCTCTAATCCTAGTATTAGAGAGGTAGAGTTTAAGATCATCCTCAGTTATACAGCAATTTCAAGGCCAGCCTTGACTGTGTTTCAAAAACAACAAAAAACAAGGGGTCAGTAAGATGGCTCAGCAGGTAAAACACTTGCCATCAAGCCTAATGACCTAAGGATGATCCCTGCAGTTCATGTGGTCAAAGGAGAGAACTGACTCCCATAACTTGTCCTCTGACCTCCATATGCATGACCTAGTCATGAGCTCACATACATGC